GCTGGGTTGCGCAATATATTGTGTGATTTTCAAGATCTTGAAAACACATTGAGCAATCTAGAAAATTTGTGCCGTCTAGAGGCTGCATTGAGAAATATTCGCTCAGTGCGACCCTAGCGGTCGATCGCCTGTCCTCAATAAGGCAGCTAAAGAATCTACTTCTGGACTTAATTGAGCTTTATAGTGGTCTCCAAGCTATATGGGATTTTAAATGCATGGATAATACCAATCGTTCGTAAAAGGGGAGCAGTACGAGATACTGACTAAAAAGTAATGTCAGTTCATTTACAATTCCGTAACTTTTTTGTGAATAAACTTCTCTCAGTCAATAAACTAGTACTCGGACTATTTCTATCTGCGAGCCTTCTCTTTTATATTCTGAAACTTTGGGCCACATAATTACGGCGCAACACGATTCACTTTTGCAACATTTTGACGTCGTAAAAGTTTGGCAGCCTGTTTGCGCAATATGGTTGTGTGTCTGGCGACCTTATTGCGCAATATATCTGTTGCGTCCACATGCAACTATACATAACATTGAGGAAATTCGTACATCATACTTCAATCCAAAGATTCGAGTTTCCAAGTATGTTGATTTAGTTAATTTGTCTACGATGTTATGATGTTTTGAAACTAATAGACTATCTTATTGATATCCTAATTATATTATTATATTCTAAAGTTGTTATTGATTTCTGAAACATATATATTACGCCGAACTCAATATTTACGCCAACTCCATCATATTACGCCTACCCCAACATATTAGTGGCTGGAAAAGGTTGGGGGCTTTAACTGACTTAATATCTAAATTTGAAATGCAACTTTAAATAATTAAAATATTTGGGTATGTAATTTTCATATATTAGAGAGAAATCATTCAAGTAATGAAACTGTACGTATGTCAATGGTGACTGATTTGTTGGTCATCAGTGAACGTGTAATTTCCTTTCTTTACGAAATCACGAAACATGCTTTTTGTCTTCGGTCTTCGTCACCCTCCTCATACATAAGGATATTAAGGTTTTCCTTGATTTATTTCTTTCATTCGCGTCGATCGCTTTACTCGACACTTTTAGCGGAGAAATATTGAATGCAAGAAAAATTTTTGTTATGTGTTCAGCAGAATTGATGGCACTTAAAGAACATGTATAAGTGTCATGTCATGTTTTCACCACTGTAGACCGCGAATTTTTATATACAACTTTTCTGAAGTGTCTATATATACTATCGTCCTAGTTTGTGATGGGTTTAACATTAATTGATTTAGTTTTTTTGAGACAATATTCTTGAAGTTGGACGACTTGCAGCTCTCTGCATTCGAAGTGCTCTATGACCAATTGGTATACGTTGGTCTTTAAGACGTTAGTTGAACCTTCTAGTGTGGCCTTGGCATATATGTGTTATATAGTTTTTTTTAATGTCTCATTAGTTTTCTAATCTTGGTAAACTTAAAAAAATGGTTTAGATCATTACATATTTAGATTGTAGATCTGAAGTCGGATGCTACGCACCGAGCCATATAACAATCATTTCTCAATCTTGTATATATGGTCTTCTTGAACGAACATCGCGTGGCCAGGAGACAGGCTTATGTAATAGACCATCCGACAAGAATAGCTCGACAAGTTGTATCATAAAATACTATAGAAAGGCTGAAGTTTTATCAGAGCCGCTCAGTGCGGTCGGACTTATCGGCCATTACGGCTGACTGTCCCTCTGGCCGTGAATCTTACTAACCAATGGTAATGATGTCTTTTGGAGGAACTTGCGACCAACGACACTGCAAGTTTCTGCGATTTTTGCCATAGAGAAGAATGGAAGGAAGCCCTGACAAACTGCATGGTCGGTCGTCGCGCGTTATCTGCACAATGGATATGGGCGCCTCAGGCATTTCGCTCATAGCTTTTATAACGCTCGAAGATTTCGGCTAATTCATGTTGCAGTATGAAATATTATCCTGCGTTTATGTCGACGATGTTACGATCAATTGTGTAATCATTGATGAATTATGGCCTCGAGATTCAACCAATTTCTTGCAAGGTTAGTTTCTAATTCAATTTATTACATGGCCTTTCAGCCTAGTTCAATCATAAGGTTTGCTAAATTATTTTTGACGTTTTACCAGGCTGTTATTGGCTGACGGATTCGGGCTTAAAAAATTTTTAATTATATTCTCCACTTGGAATTCTAGGTATATGTTTAAGAGCACTTGGCACGCCTTGCCATGGATTTAGATGGAAATAATTTCTAAATTCTAAGTCGAAATTAAGGAAAATTTATTATACCCATTTTAATTTTTCCGGCATATGAAATTATGATATTGAATGCACTAAGCGCATTTCATAATCATGCACTAAGCGCATGATTATGAAAATTATTTTTTATCTTGGTATTAACTTTTGTCAGATGTTACCTCATGTTTCCAAATTCGCGGTTGGGGACTCAATTTTTTCTAGGATTTTTGTAATTTTTTTCCTTATACGCCTCCAGACGTGGGATATCAAGCTTTGCTAACAAGCAGAACTTTTATGCCAGTTTTTCGCATCTTCTTGAGTTCTCATGGCAGAAAGGAGACAAGATGTTTTCCAGTCAGCAACACCCGAATGGTAGTTTGTTATTTAGTACATTTTTATCTTATTGAGAGTGCCATTACTGAAATTCACTAGGTATTTTATGCACGGGATATTTGTCGTTTCAATTATTTTAATTTAGTTCCAGAAAATTGAGGCTTTGCACCTAAAATTCTGATACCTCTTTGGGTTAATTTTCTAGTTGAACAATCCTCTCCTCTAAGTTTGTTAGGCCTCTACTTTCAACATGCTATAGTTTAAAATAGATCTTCGCCTCAATTCTCAAAGTTCCCTTAAATTGTCATTCTTGCTGGACGTCTCTGACCAAGAAAAAGGAGGTACAGTTGTCGTAAGCGAGTATGGCATTTCTGATGTCCTGCTGGCTACATCAGCCCCTATATCGGCTGCAAAAGATTAATGGCTTCTCGATAGCCGTAACTCATGAGGCATTTTAGTGCTGCCGTCTTCGATTGAAGAAGAGCAAAACACGCTTCTCGTATCTGTCTAATGTGCACAAAGTTCTAATTTATTGCTCGATTTGATCGGCGCTTGTCGGGGTCCAGGGAATGCTTCTGATGACGGACATGTTTTCTGGGAGCCCTCATCTATTGGCGTCCCGTGCAGGGGCCCGTACTGGCCAGGATGATGGCTTGCACTTTCTCTCCGTCTTGTCCAGTCCTTGTTCAAACCTTTTAGTCTCGGCTTTTCTCGTTGCAGAGTTTTTGAGTCAAAAACTGTATATTTGTCAGTCCAAAGCAATAATTCAATTTAGTTTGAGTTAATGAAGGTCCATCTCGTACGATTTTCTATAAAGTCACATTTTAAGTTCACTTTCTGAGCCTCTCTGTTCCGTTTATATCAATCGGATCATGTCGCGGTAATCGGGGCCGTGTTTATTCATTCTGCTTTCGACATACTCAAATATATTGTCTGCTTCGAAACGCTGGAGGCAAAGATTTTTCTCCATGTTAAATAGTTCAAGTATGTCTTCTGTTTTGCTATGAAGTCGTATTTTGGTTACAACATTATTATCGGACAATAATAGATTTCTCGTAAACTGTATGCCATTAGTCAGAACTTTCAAAAAGACTTCAGTACATTTGAATGGATAATAAAAGCTAAGGAGTTAACTCTTCTTATTCATATTTCACTCCTTAGTTCACTTCGTCATCCGTCATGTCAGCCTCTTCCAGCTGCCCAAACTTTAGCTTTGTGAAGAAATCCGTTGCTATGAGAAAAAATCGTAAAATTTCTAAGCATTTATTGTGTGCTAGCAAGAGCGTAGACCAGGTATTTTTTAGAATAATCTCAGAGTTTTCTTTTATGTACGAGTTCAGTTTTTGGAAAAAGAGTTGCGTTACTTCACCCCTCGCGCCTAGGCTGGAGGCCGCTGCCTGGTGTTGGTGTGGAACGATTTTGCCTGGGCGCAAGACAAACTTAGGCTCCTGGTTCCTCTTTTTGATGATGTAACTCGCTTGTCGGTGTACTGTTCTCTTTACATTTCTTCAAATAGTGTGGTTATGAAATGAGGATGTTTCTTCTAGCATAACGAATTGTTGGTAACCAGTACCTTCCAGCTTAAAACAACTTAAAAAATAAACTAACCTCATGCCTGGAAAATAAATCCCAGAACAATATTTAAGAATGATATAATACCGCCGACGTCGATGTGATTATTATAGAAAGTGAAATTCTCATATGAATTTACTCGCAATGATCAAAGTTAAAAATTCTGGAATCCTCATCAACAAATAATTGATAAATGGGATTGGTTCTATATGAGGTAGAAACGCTTTGATTTGAAACTCTTAATTCAACTAATATCGCCAGAGATGATTTCATTTCCACCACTCTGTCCAAAAGATCATAAAGAAATTATATAAAAATGAGTCATTTTGCAGTTTTATCAAGAAGGCTCCAGTATTAATGGTGCCTTAATTGACGAATTAGTTTTTAAATTTGTGTATTTTATGTCTAGGACAAAATTTTTTATGTGAGTAAGATAGCTCTGCTGTTACATGTTGTACTATTCTATCCTGTATGATGAAAGATAAAGTGCTTAGTTTTAAAATTTAGTCAGTTCAACTTTTCGATTCCAAAAGGCAAAATGATGTGATGTCAATGACTGTCAACATGTGATGATTTTCAACTCATGTGATGTCAATGAGTAATGATGTCAACACTAAAATTGTGTGAATTTTAATATGACTTCATTAACTTGATAAATAAATGCTTTAAAAAATGTATTTTACCGTATTGATTGTTATGACTACTTACTTTCAAACAATTAATTAGTAAAACTTGTTGAGTTTTAGAATTTATATGAATGTCACTTTAATCGCTTCTCACGAAGCGAGATTTTATCCCCCGTAACTGCACCTCCTTGCGCACGTATACGCTCATCAAAGTTCGTCTTGATGCCCCCAGTTCTACGCGACGACTTCCGCACGTCACCGCGGGACACGCGCGTCGTGGCGGGCCAGCAGGCGCGCCTAGACTGCGTGCCCCCACGGGGCCACCCGCCCCCCGCCCTCACCTGGACCAGGGATGGCCATGAGCTGCACCGCGACAACAGGTATTTTAAAATACCTCCACAGTTAAGAAATTATTAATATTTTAACACCGTTTAATTTACCATTGTTTCGCGTGTTGGGCATTGTACATAAATAAAATGATTTTTGATTGTTGCGTCTTGGTTTACCAGTGCCACCTACTCGAAAGCTTACGAGTATCGAATTTTACTTGCTTGTTTTTTTTCTTTCAGTATATTTTTGTGTTCACGGAAGGTTAATTTCTATTTACTAGGCCCCTAGATTTCTTTGACATCTTAGTTCACCAACATTAAACATATAGTATATAGAAGTATTTATCTCATAGTTATGTTACTTTCAATTTACTTCATTGGAATGTTTCAACAAATTGCTGAAATAATTTGCTCTCGTTGCTGTAGAATAATACCAATATTCAGCAGGAGGAGCTCTAATTTATCCAACTTTATTCTGGTCGCCCCGTGACGCGTCACTGAAACAACGTTCACTGAAATTGTTAGTTTGAAGTCTGAGATTATGGTTCTCTAAAATCACCTCCCAAGCAATGCCGGGGGTAATTTGTTGGGTGAGCTTGTCATTCATAATTTAATATCGAGCCCTGTGTTGAACATTTGTTTACACAATAAGGCTTTCACGTGTGCGACTGATCACATGGGCATCTGACCTTATTTTAACTGATATTATTTCGATCATGGACGTGAGAAATTTTCTTATCTCCTTGTTCTATGACTGGGATTTTTCACAAATACGCTCCTTGACTCATTAATTTGCTCAATGAATATATGTACCATACTTTCTTCTCTATCGATGTTAATTATGATAAAAAATGCATGTCTCTAAAATTAGTTGAACTATCGTGGTAGAGCCTCCAACATATATGCTTATATATGGATAGCAGAGTAATTACACGATATAGCAGCTTCAAGAGTCAAACTTCAGTTGAAAGGGATGAAATGCTGGTGATGAAACGCAATGAAACAATTGAAATCCAGCCAAAAAGTTCACGTAAATGGGAACGCCCGTCCCTCCTAAGAGATACAAAATGTGAACTAATTAACTTCACACAATCTGAATATTCGTAAAATCTTTAAATAGGTCAACAGGAACTTGCAAATCTTGCACCGGACTGATATTCACAAACATTTGACAATGGAAAAAATGACAGATATTTATACACAATGCACTTTTACGGAAAAATCGACAATAAATTCAAGTCCTGAACATTCATGAAGCTTACCCGCCACTATGATAGAATCATTAACCACGCGTTGGGTGACAGTACATTGATAGACGAGTAAGAACAGACAAAAATTATTAGATAACCACCAGAACCCCTATGCAAAGACATTAAAGGAGTCAATGAGGAGAAGTAAGTACTTAACCCCAGGTTACAAGGCGAGCGAGCTGCGCTGCTACAATACCGTATTTAGTTAGCAGCAGTTGTTAACTTGATAAGAATTTAATCTACTCGGCAAAAATAATGTTGTCACTAAGAAATAATTCATTTCATTTCGAGCCCTTCCTTACTTAATTGAATTTCCCATTCGATATTGTGTAGCTAGGTAATAGTGACTTCCGAATTTAAATTTGACTTGTTGAATCCTCTGAAAAATTCATCATGATTCTGCCACAACAACTTCTAGCCATTTGAGAGCATCCCTAAATTGAGATGTTCCGGTACTGTTCGCGACCGCTTCTCTAATGTTTAAGCTTTTCATCTTTTGATGGCTGGCCCTCGCTCGTGCATCAATCTCGTCGGCGGCACAAGACATCAATGCGCGGGGCCGGTCTTCAATTCTAACTTGTCTTTCGGCCTCCGATCTTCACGAATTTTTTCTTGCGTCGCTGCAATGATCGTTGCCGACGCGCAAGGCCCCAATTATCTTCGTACTTTTTTCATGATTTGGAAAACTAACGAAAGAAAAAAACGAAATGGAACCAAAATTTCTAAAAATCTTAGTAGAGTCGTTGGCAAGAAATGACAAATGCCTGTGTTGTTTTTACTGAGAGAGAATTGTTGTAGAAGACCAATGGTCGAATGAAGCGTTGTGTACAGGATAGGAGTGATAGGAGAAAAATTATTCCATGCTGTGAGGAACGCAATATCATTAAGTGCTATTAAATATTATGAATTCTCTTGGTGCAAAAAGGAGTCCATCAGTATACTCTTCTTATTAAATTTAAAACCATTGCATAATCCATTACTATTAAAAAAATATTGCCAGCTTAATATTTCTTACAGATGAGAGATGTTGTTGCCAACGGTCACTAATTCGGTTATTTATTTTACAAAAAGTAAAAAATAAATTTCTCAAATCGATAGCAATAAATGAATCTTTTATGATTTTCACATGGACAAAGATACTGAAATGCGCAAAAACAGCACATTTGTGAAAAGGAGCAAATAAATTATTTGGTCAGATTATTTAATTAATAATTAATAATTATTTGTCCATATTTGTCCATTATAATTATTTGTCCATTATAATTATTTGTCCATTATAATTATTTGTCCATAATGAATTTGGAAGAAGAGTCCGAGCTTCAACATATTATGGCTTAGAACAATGAGACGAGTGGCAAACTGTATGCAGTGGAAATATTTAATTTTAATTTAACACATGGGGAATAACCAGGACCCTAAATTTCATCCCCATTTATTATCATGCTGGCCTAGGAAAAATTTTAAAGTTTATTCTATTTGTTCACGCTTATTGCGAACTAAAATAATGCGCCTTCCAATAATAGACTTTACAAACCCCAGTTTAGAGTCTGGAACCTGAATGAAGAAAAAATATATTGCTTCCCAGCAATTATAAATTGAATGTAATTCAGACACTGAAATATATATTTACACATGTCAAGGTCTTCTTTGAAGAATCTTTCTTGACAATAGTAATAGGTGCCTCGTTATTGAGTTGAGGATAGCAACTTGAATGTTCTCCGTTCATTTGAAGCCTAGATTGAAGGTAACTTTTTTGAACAGCCAGATACATGCGGTATAGAGCAACGATTGGCCACGATGCACTGGCGAAAGAACTAGTTCAGAATGCATAACAATGCTAGGTCCGGTTTTATTCGTGATTGATTCTAGACGTTTCCATCATTAAAAGCCGTTTCAATAACGAAGAAAAAAAATGAATGATCTCTTCGATTACACAAATTTCAAACAGATATGAGATGGTATTTGTGACATCGCTGATTCATTCAAATGACTAGGCCTGAACTGCGCTAATAATACCAACCATTAATCACTCGCTACTGAAAATATTTATATAAATATATAATATTTATATAAAAATAGTATTAGAAGGGCTGTTGAATACCAGTTAATTCGCTTTCGAAGACCTACGAAAAAAATTAAACGGAGACAATGAAGTGGAATATTACTATCTAATATGTCGTAAGATCCGCAATTACTTGGAACCAATGACGCTGCGTCGTCCTTATAGCGACCGCACGTTCTTTTTTGTTTTCTATTATTTGATCGGATTCAAGTATGCACTCCACTACTCTGGCCTATTGAAGTTTGATTATATTGATGTACGCTGATGGTGGTGCTGCTAATATTGACACACAACGTCGTGGCGTAGCGTCTTAATTGAGTTACTTTCGCACCAACTTCGGCTGAGGCAGATTTCGATTAGTTTTTATCAACTATAATTGTTGCAAAAATATTGGTTCAATAACCCTTCACATATTTTTATCGTCTCACTATATGCATTAGCCTTTTGAGAAAAATTTTACTCTAAATAAACTAGCGGGAATCTTTCTGAAAAATACACCAATCAAGTTCTATTTTGAATCTTCATTAAAACTTTTATTTTCCCCTCCCAAGCATTTTATTTTCGAGCTGGTTGAATTGAACATCTTTATTAATTTTTGTTAAAGTTGTGAAAAAATTTTAAAGTTTAAAGTTTGCTCTCACGCTTTGTTCGCGTGCGCATAGTTGCGATGATCCATCATCGTCGTCTAACAAGAAACTTCGACGCAATAAAGATTGCTTCTCTTTCACCGAAAAAAAAATTCTTAAACGACACATCTCTATGTTGACGCTCATCGATCAATTATTTAGTGTCAGTTAATTATTTTATTGACTATTTTCAGTCTGCTTAGAGGAAAGTCTGCTTATTTGCGGGTGATGACAACTTTCCCGTTGGGGACTTACAGCTTTAATGCTATTTTTACAACACTTCTCTTTAACTTCACTTCTGGTTGTTTGTTTGTTTGTCTGTCTGCTATAAATCTTATAATCGATATTTAACACACTTCTACCTACCCAATCAATATGAAATTTTGCATACTTGCGTAAAGTCGAAGACAATGCATGAATAAATTGACAGAAAAAATAATTTTGAAAAATAACATTTTTTTAGAAATTTAGAAAAATTATATATGATTTTAGTTCTCAGATTTTTTCTTTACAAACTTCATGATTTATTTTATATTAATTCCCCCGCATTTTTTTGTGCTAATGTTTGCTCAGCAAGTATTTCTTTATAATAAAAAACTTTGCGTGCAATCATTCTGCATGTCAGTTGTTCGTAATGTTCCATTATCTGCTTTGGCGCAGTGTTATGATATTCATTAACATTCCTGATCAGATTCATTATTTGATGAATTGGACACTTGACACTTTTTCCACTTGAAGACCGCATTCACGAGACCATTCACGTGGATTGCATCTATGCTCTAAGTGGCTTTCAAGTATTGAAATATTTTTATGCTTTAAACATGGTAGTACTAGATTCGAAGCCGGAGGACTACGGCTATTCCAGGCTATTTTTTAATAGTGGCACTACAAGTATGTATTTTCTTCGGTGAAAAATGTTATATTTTTTGCAAATAAAAGGTAAAGTCACTTTAATTTAAACTGACTTCTATTTATTTTTACGCGAAAATTTTTATTTTGATTATTCAAATTAACGTGTGTAACTGCCACGACTTCAAGCTCCTGTCTTAATCTGCGAAATGGTTCTAACAACCGAACTCTTTCTCGTGCGGACATAGGAATGCAGAGAAATTA